AAGAAATGCAAGCTAGTTCTTGCCTGGATGTGGCGTCTTTTGCTGAACCCTACGGAATGCCAGAGCTCCTAGAGGAAGCCAATGACTTTGTACGAAGGAACTTTAGGGAAGTGTCAGCCACTACAAAGTTTAAGGACTTATCACTGGAGAAGCTTCTGGAGTTCCTCTGCTGCGATGGTCTGTGTGTGCCCTCAGAACTTGCTGTGTTTCGAGCTGTAATTTCATGGATTGAGGCTGATCCTGAAGAGAGGCTGCCCCATGCTGGCTTGTTAATGACTGGAGTTCGTTTCCCCCTCATGACATTTCGAGAGTTCAGGGAGGTCAGAGCCATTAACCTGCGCATGGAGTGCTTCGCAGACCAGGATGTGGAACTCTACGGCTCAGCACTTAAAGAATTTTGTTTTAGTCTTCCAAAATCCCAGGATTGCTGTCGTGTTAGGCGACCCAAAGATGTCCTGGTCCTGGTTGGAGGAGACCAATTAAACCCTGACATGGGTCAGCGTATACCAAGCAAGGAAGTGTGGTTTGCGAACACCCTGCACAGTGGCACAGGGTTGGTAAAGAAGATAGAGTGGAGGAGATTAAAAGAGATTCCAGATAAGCCAAAGTTCAGGCATGGAGCTACCGTAATGAAGGGGAAGCTGTACGTAGCTGGAGGATGTCACTTTTACACCAAGGATGACATAATGAAATCAACATACAGGTATAAAAGTGAATCTCGAAATTTTCATCATGCCGTACGATCATTGACTTAACCTGTTTTATTGTCATCAAATCCCTGCTAGTTATGACCCCGTGAGGGACAGCTGGGAGAGGCTGGCAGACATGCAAGAGTCCAGAAGTAACTTTTCTCTGGTAGTACATGAGGACCATCTTTGTGCCATTGGTGGAGACAAAGAAATCAACACCAACACAAGCAGTGTTGAGATGTACAACCAAGAAACAGACTCCTGGAGGTAACATTAGTGTCACAGGCAATAAGGGAAATATTAATCTGAGCAGTAGGAAGCATAACTGACTAAGTCAATGACTGATATTGGCAGTCACAAAATCAGATATGTCAGGGATGTGATGAGCTGACTTTTATTAGATCAGATTAACATAATGCCTTGGGCTACAGCATTACAAGTTATTACATTACATGCACACCTGAGAGCCACACAATATTGACTGACCGGGCATGGACATAAGATCAAAGATGGTAACTGTGTAGTTTGGGCTTGGTTTGGTGAACTCTTTGAATAATTTAAGCTTCAACTCTATTTGGGTTTCTTCTAACTCATTGCAAAAGCATTACCAGTGATTGGACACCAGATGGAACTATTTCGCTTTACAACTGCCATTAAAAAGCTTTGTTGACTCCAAGGAAATGTCTGGTCTCTAATGTATCATACTAACTGGTAAGAGAAACCTGATTTCTGTGTTGTTTCAATAGAAACAACACAGAAATGGAGGTAAAATATCTGGGTTTCAGTTGTTCATCAGGCCAGACTGATTTAAGCCCTTCACTGCATCGCTGTCACTGATGTGATCTAATTCATTTTCTACAGCTTTGTTCACCCATTGGACCAGGCTCTCAGCGGTTATGCTGTTACCACCATAAACGAGGGGGTTTTTATCTCTGGAGGTTTCGACTGTAAGTATGTGTGTCTAGTTTCCTTGTTCCTGTACAACCCAGAGGGTGGAACCGTTTATCTAGCGGACATGGCCCATGACCGAGCCCAGCACTGCATGGAAGCCTTGCGAGGTCATCTTTACGTCACCGGGGGGATGTGTAACCTGAGGAAGTTCTATACTGACCAACTAGCCTGTGAGGTTTACGACCCGGTGTCCGACTCCTGGGCTGAGTTTGCACCGCTGCCCGTGCCTCATGTGGGTGCTGCCTCCGGTGTCCTGGAAGGGAAGATCTATGTGCTGGGGGGATACTGCCAGGATGACTACAGCGAGTCAGGACTGGTCCATCGCTTTGATGTCAGCACACAGAGGTGGGAGAGCTTGGGGAAAGTACCAGGCGCTGTCACTGACATTAGGGCTTGTCTACTGCACTTGCCCCCGGACCTGAGAAACTAAGTTGTTCATCACATGTGTGCATTATATTGGGTTAAATCCAATCAGACACTGAAATTTTGACTGAAATGTGAATGTGTACAATGCGTTTCTGATTTATTTCATGCATGTATAACTGTGTGAAGTGGAATTTATATTGGAATTACTGTAACTATACAGGTACAGGCAAAATTGAGATCGAAATATTATGATTATTTAGTAATGAGTAAAAATGCAGTGAAATAATGACAAAAATAAAACAAGATAATTTGACGTTGTTTGACATTTTATTACAGAGGCGTAAAGATCATATTCGAAGACAAAAGATTGCAAATTATATATTATAGTTTGATTTTGTTTTCCCACTAACTTAGGTTTGGTTAGAAAATAGAAGTCACTAATCTCCATGGTAACTCCTTTACATTTGTTTGTCAAGCTGCAGTGTTCACATGTATAAAGATCAAGTACAAAGATCCCGACACAATCTCTAAACCTGTCTGACAAACCTGTGTTCTTTCCTGATTTCCGAGGAAGGTTGAGGAGGAAGCCTTTGAAGCAGAGAAAGCAGCGTAATCGACATTCCTCATTTAGTTTGAACAGTTAAAAACATTTATTTCAGAACTCAAAAGTCTGCTATAAACATCAAGGAAATTGTTTGTTCGCATAATCACATTGATTCCCTCCACCGAAAATCACAGGTCCCCAAAAATGTACAAACCTTTCCCATAATCCTACTAAAGTGGGAAGATAAGGAACCCACTGAAGACGCCGGAATATATTTTGACACCTTTACACAGTACAATGCTGATGCAATCTCGGACATTGAGTTCAAGAATGACTGTGTTGCTGGCTGTGTTGCTGTGATAGTAGCTAGAGGATTCCCAAGTGCTCACTTTGTACCGCCTGTTTCTCATCAAAATGGCTCCCGAAGCCCGAACGTTGTAGCCAAAAGTCATGAAGGTGAACTGGTAAACGCCTTTCACCGGAGCTGTGAAGATGCCTGGAAAAGAAAACAATGCAGCTGGCTGCCATGAAACATGCATCCCAACATCTATTAAAATATATCAGTGTATCAACATCTTTTGAAGTCCAATTCAGGTGAATATGCGGAAGAAACTATTACTCATCTTCCTTGGAGTCAGAGCTCCATGGCTACCATTGGGCGTCAAGCCAAACAAACCTGTTCTTATCTAAGGCAATCACATACTTAAGTTGCCACAAAGCCTTTAAAGATTTTTTACTTGCAAGTATAATTGTATTTGTTATATAACATCCACACTTAGAAAAAGGATGGGGAAATACATTCATTAGCTTTTTTTTTTCATTTCTTAGAGCTATAACAACCAGTATCAATGCTTTTTTGTTTGGGGTGACGCTTTATGTTAAAAGTGTGAAAATGTAACAATTATTTTTCAAAATGTGTGCTTAATTTAGGCATCACATCCTTAAACTTAATTTTAGACCCGAAGAGGAAGTGATCGAAGGGGCTTGCAGTTGCACAAAGCTGTAATATTTGTATGGCTGTAAGCCTCTGCTTCCTTTAATATGTGGAAACTAACGATGACAGCAAATTAATCTTTGAGAAATATGAGAAAGAAAAATTGATTAGAGGTAGCTCACCCCCAGATCAGAATAGTGTGTTTGTTTATCACACGTTGAAGATTTTTCTTCTGCTATGCTGTAAATCATACCTGTTTTTCCGTTGTAAGCAATCCCAACGTTCGTGAAGACTCTGTCAAAAATGAGAACCTTGGATCCGTAAGTTGTTCGGGGTCCAGTGAACACATGAGAAGGGCTGACGATTCTTGCCGAAAATGCCACTTTTTTCATTTCTGCGTGAAGTAAAAGAAAAAACATTGCTCTGAGCAGTTCTCATAAACAATCCCATGACGATGGGCTTTTGCTGTCTTTACCTTTTGGCTCGCATTTTTCCTCAAGTCTCTCCTCCAGATCTGCCAGCAGAAACATCACGTTACACGGGCAATTGTTCCACAACTTTAACCCATTTTGTTCGCTCAACCTTGATTTCAAGTGTCTGTTCGCACCTACCTTTGATTTTAGTCACTAGGAAATCCACTGTATGGTTTCTGTCTTTTAGCTGTCCTTTCACATCAGCCAGTTTGCTCCTGGTTTTGTTCTTAAGTTCACTGACTTCAGCTTCTTGTTTTTTCAGCGAAGTGCTAAAGGCTTGAAAGCAAAGCAAAGACAGCCGAGGTGTTAAATGTGCAGGTGATGTGGCATGAACATGAAGATGCAAGATGGTTTACTTTTGAGTTACCTTTATTTTCCCCCTGCACTTTCTTCAGCTCGTCTTCAAGCGCCCTCCTGGTGGCGGTCAGCTTGGCTTCCACTTTGAGTTCAATATCCTGGGCTGTTGTGTTCAGCTGGGAGAGTTCTCTCATGTACAAGCCCAACAGTCTCTTCGTATCATTAAACGCAGCCGCAGTTTCCATCTCCAGATTTTCAAGTTTGGCTTTCTTTTCTATCAGCTGGTTCTCAGTCAAATCAAGTCTCTCCTCAACCTCACTAAAGTTTCCAGATACTCTTTCTTTGTGCTTGATCAGTTCACTGACCTTACTCTTCAGCTCGGAGATGTCGCTTTGCTGATTTAAATTCTTCTTGGTCAAGTTTGTCAGTGCTTCATTTTCCTTTCTCAGAACAGAAAAACTTTCTTTCAGCATCTGTATGGTTACTTCGAGGGCGTCTTTCTTTTTATAAAGCGACTCGATGTTTTCGTAATTGGAGCAAAGAGTCGGTGTTTGGCTGTTTTGTACTGGATCGCACTTCCGCACGTGTGGAAGATCGCAGAACACGAGTCCAAGTGAGCTTAAAAGGAAAACCACCTTGAGAACCATTTTTAGTTTTTGATCGTTTTGCTCCTCTGTCCCTGCTACCGTCCAAGTTCCTGTGAAAACCTGTGAGCAACTCACATGAGGCACCACCTTTTGCTCAGAAAGCACAGCCTTTTTATGACAAAACAAAGATCTAAAAAAAAAAAAAAACAAGGAAACAGACTAAAAACTCCAGTATGTCTCGTTCAGCTCGGTGGTTCCCCTCCTTGTCCTGCATAAAGGGCCTGGTATTTGAACAAGGAAATATCGTGTGGTAAAAATAGTTTAAAATGACTGGCGCCAATGCATCAATGCATCTCAAGGTTCCTGAAAAACCTTTCAGCCTTGATTTGTTCAGATGAAAGTCATTTCAACGTCAAGAACAGAGAAGATTAGAGTACCTTCCCACCTTCTCTTATTCAAAGCAACATAGAGCTACAATGTGAGGCCATGTTTGGAATGAGGAAAACAATGAGGTGAAACGAACCATGTCGTGGTGGAATGAGGATGTGGCCCTGGGCCAGACTGGTGACCTCTCCAGGGTGTACTCCACCCTTCGGCGTTGACAGCTAGGCCTATCCCAGCTGACAACGTACCACTTAACCCAGAAGAACCCGGACCCTGTTTTTTTTAAGAACAGTTTTTTAGAGAAAACTGAACAAATGAGCATCCGTGATGTTCCACAGGTTACGTTTTGAAAAAAAACGTCCATTGTGCATGCTGCCACTCACCCAACGGTGCAATGTACTGAATCAAGCTTAAAAATAGATGGATGTGAAATGGATCTTTTACATGATCTGTAACTTCACAGCATTGTTGTATTTTGTTGATATTTTCTATATATTTTACCTGCAAAGTTGCTCAAAAAGTCTCCCAGTAGGCTTGTTGGGACACATCTGGAACTGCTGTCGCTCAGGGCTGTAACACAGAATACTCCCTGACAAGTGAGTACACAGCAGAGGTACATAAGACATTGGAAAGGGGGAAAAATAACCATAAGCTCAAGAGCAAAACATTGTAAAAATGGAGTGTAGCACTCTCCTCCTGCTGACCCTTTTGGGATCCCTGTTTGTGGAGCCAGGGCTTGGACAGAGAGGAGACGTGGACATCAATCAGTGGATGCAAGATAAAGAGAAGTTGATCAAGAATTTGGAGGACCAGCTGAAAAATCTACAGCAATGCAAAGATGAAGTTAAAGACTTAGGCACCCGTCTCAGCACAGCTGTCGACGAGCTGGAGAGGCAGAAAGCCGAAACGGAGAAGCTGAAGCAGCAAAATGAAGGTCGCTATCATCATGAGAAGGGTCTGAAATTATTCATTTGGAGTTTGGCCTTTCTGTTTTTTCACTCTCTTTTTCAAATGCTTTCACAGTCCTGAAAACCAGGCTGGACGCCACAGAGACGGAAATCGGCAAGCTGAAACAGAATGGAGGTCAAAGTGAGACAATAACCTTCCTGGTTTTCAGTGTGTATGTTCCATCCCATTTTCACCATCAATTGCTTAAATTGAGTTTTTTTCTGCTACCTGTCCATCCACAGCTGCTCCTCAGATCGCATTCTCTGCCTCTTTGGTAAATTTGGGTGAGATTTACAGCGGACCCTGCACAGACAAGACCCTGATTTTCAAAAGGGTCTTCTCAAATGCTGGCAACGCTTACAACATGAATACAGGTATCATATGAATTTTTTGACCTTACACTTACAGTTGTTGTTAATTTTTTTCTTGAACATTTTTCCACTGATCTATAATCAGAGCTTATGCTGTTTTCTAAAGAAGAACTGCTACTTGTCTTGTCTGTGCAAGCCCACATGTTGACACGCATGTGCCCAGGATCTTGTCCAACTAGTGCAACTCCTGTCCAAACCAAGGAGAAGAATGTGCTGTGGGCAAAGTGACTCATATCTCTGGCATTTCTGAGCGCTGATTAAATTGGATTGATCTTTTGGAGATTGCAGCTGCAGTCATTAGGAAATTCCCATTAAAAGCTGATGTAAGACAGGTTGTGGTATAAAAATGGAATACATTGACTGCATCAACCCTGTTACGTTAGAGAATGTAGGTCCGCCTCAAGCAAGTCAAAGAAGACAGACTAATACAAACTGTCACAGGGAACATTCCAATTACATAATGAAGCGCTCTGTGGAAAAATGAATGAACAGGAGGGATTACGGCTGCTTGTCTTTTCTCTCTTGCAGGGATCTTCACAGCACCAGTCAACGGACTCTACCATTTTACCTTCAGCACCTATGGCTACAACACCCACGCAATGGGCGCCATCTTAATGAAGAATAATGCCCGTCAAGTTTCAGCCTATGACAGCCCTTCATCAGACGGTTCTGACAGCAGCAGCAACGCCGCCGTCCTGCAGCTGGCTGCTGGCGATAAGGTGTACCTGGAACTGTGGGACAACGGCAGGGTGTTTGATAACCTGAATGGACACACAACCTTCAGTGGTTTTCTCCTCTTCCCTGTGTAGATTTATCTTGATTTGCTTGTGCACAGCCATGATTTCTAGTATACTGGTATGACAATGGATCTCTGTGGCTTTCATTGTCAAGATAATTACTTAAATCTATCTTTCTTTTCATGCTTCGGGTACATTCAAGGGAATTTTGATGGAGGAACCTTCCTCCATTAATGAAAAACGTTTTTCTTCTTATCTTCCTCAGTTATTTGGAGGGTGCCATCTGAAGGTTAAAAAATTAACTTTGGGACAAGAGGGACAGCTCCCTCCAGTGGTCCTAATTTAACATTGCAAGAGGTGAAGGGTGGTTTTATTTGGAGGGTTGCGTTCACATTAAAATGTTATCCACTTTACAAGATCACCATCCATGTACCATATTTTTATTAGCAATAAAAGCAAAAGATTTTAATAAAAAGCAGCAGCACATTACATTGCGTACAACTTTATCCTTTGGCATGATACATTTCTCACAGGATGAAAATCACGAATGCTTTTGAACCCATCCTCTGTATATGTCCCAGCTGGTATGTATACGTTCAGCCCTGCAGCCAGTGTCAAAAATCACATGTATTTATCCTTTTTATGGTAATCTCAAAAGCTGTAAGATGAGCAGTTACATGGTTTAGTCTGGACTGGATGAACAAACGAGAAACCTGCTTTTGATATCAGAAATCAGTTAACTTTTTCCTCATTCCTTTTTTTTCTTCTTCTTTGTATTTCATACTGTGACAATCTACAATGGATTGTGCAACATCACAAACATTAATACATACGTCTCTTAACCCTTTACTATCCACGCGAAGAAAGAGCAATAACTATCAGAATCTATGCCTTTTTCAGTGATAGTTGGGAAGATACTTTATGGTAAAAGTGTGAAATTCTAAAATAAAAAAAAGAAATATCATAACAAGTTTTCCCTGCTCCAGCACACCTGATTCTAATAAATGGAACGACTTTTCAGCTATGCAGAAAACTGCTAAACTCCCATTCAAGAATGAGGTGTGCTGGAGCAGGGAAACTTGGAAAACATGCAGGGCAGGATGCCTTGAGGACCAGGATTGGGAAACACTGGTTTAGATATCAACTATGGACGCAGAGTCATTTGGTTCACCTTGGTGACAAGCGTTGCAGCAACAACTGCCGAAGAGGACTTTAAGAGGACATTAAGAGGACCTTACAGTCGGACATGCTGAGGCAAACACAGCACACATGCTCGTAAGTCGTTGTTTGGCCCGGGCATTTTCCCCATGTTCTCCCATTTGTTTGTGGTGGCATCATACCTATGGACCAGTTTTGTGTCACTGTAGTTCTCCTGGCTGTATCCACCCAGCACATAAAACTTTCCCTCCAGGATCGCGCTTCCCGCTCCAACGTGTGGTAACGGCAGAGGCGCCAAGCAAGTCCAAGAATCCTGAGTCGGGTTGTACATCTCACAAGTGAGCTGGTCAATGACGATCATGTTATCGTGGGTGGTGATTCCACCGGCTACGTAAAGGCAGTCACCCAGACTCTCCATGCAGTGAAGAGCTCGTGGGTTGCTCATGTTTGCCATGTAGGTGCTTCCCATGTCCGGCTGGTACCGAAACATGGATGAAAGACACAGGTAGTCGCCATTTCGCCCTCCTGAGATGAAGATTTGCTCTTGCGCAACTTTGGCTACATGCCCGCTCAGAGGTAAATCCAAGGGCCAGGTGAAACTGAAATACAGAAAATACAACTTAAAGTTGAAACCTGTGTGAAGATCAGATGAAGCGCAGGTAATAAAGAAACCAAACATAAAATATGGCAACACGTTGTCAAAGACAAGGGATATTATTCTTAAAAAATGTCACTTGGACCTTGGTACAATTGTTATGTCTACGTGCAATATGAAATTCATTCTGTTTCTAAATTTACTGAAATACACTGAACAGAAATTAGCATTAATTTAATTTGATTGCTGAATTCCTTCCCATGTTTGCTGCTGCTTGTGTACCTCCAAGTGTTTGTATTGGGACAATATGATTCCACACTCTCTATATGATCTGGCTCACAGAGTCCACCAATAGCATATATTTTTCCATCCAATATGGCCACTGAGAAGGAGCATCTCTTCTCCTGCATTTCACTCAAGGCCTCCCAGTTGTTTCGATGGGGGTCATACCTACAATTAGGGAGACCAGATCAATTAATAAAACACGTGCATTTCTACGCACACCCTCTTTCAATTCTAAAGTCACAAGCAGAATTAGAATGTTTTTTTAAAGATTAGAAGGGCATCTATTCACAACCATGTCTATTAGATACCTTTTCTTGTAAATAAAAAATAAACATGACATAATGATAACATTAAATGCCAACACGTTGAAGAAATATTGGCATGTCATGTGATGTTTTTATTATAATGTCTTGACATATCAAAAGAAAAAGAATGAAAAGAGTGTACTTTCCACTTCCACGTTGCTGTGCATTTCTGTTAAGCCCGTGAACTACTTCCTTTACTCACCTGTGAACAGAGTTCAAGGTGTCATAAGTACCGTAATACTTCTTGCCTCCAAAAACGTATAGTTGTCCATGGAGCACAGCCACCTCATGGGTAAACCTAGCTGCCTCTGGCATCTCTCCCAACCTTCTCCACTCCATTGCCTTTTTTATCCCTTCGTGGTTTCTCAAGGAGTTTCCAAACCACACCTCGCGGCTGATACTACGGTTGCTCAGGTCCTCAGAGATATGATCGCCTCCAGTCAGGACCAAACTCTCCTTTGGCAGATAGATCCGGCTGTGCTGAGCAGTGTCGCTGGAGCAGAAGTTTTCAAAGACTGCTTCATAAAGTTCTGTCAAGCTGTTATCAGACCAAATATCATGGGACCGGACCTCTTGGAATTCCTTAAAAGTCATCAGTGGAAAGTAAACTTTTTTCATGAGGTCTTTTGCCAGTCCAAGACGTGTTCTGGGCTTTGCTTGAATCCATGCAACCACCGCACTGAATACAACAAGCTCGGAGGGAACACAGAGCGAGTGACTGCTTAGGTATTTAAGGAGCTGTTTAGCTGGCAGGTCCTTGAACTTTGAAGTACACGCCACCTTTTGGAATTGGCGCAGGACAAAATCATCAGCAAACTCAAGAAGATGTCTTATTTCATAGGCCTGGGCGAAAGATATCACATCCAAGCAGGTTTTGGGATTGATTTCTCTCAGAAGGAAGTTAAAGCACAGGGAGAGGGCAGGTTGGTACTGGAGTTGCAGAGCAGTGGTGGTGATCTCAAAGACGTTTGTCCAGTTGATGGGGAGAGTGCCGCTGTAGGAACTACAGATTAAAACCTCCAGTTCTGAAGCCAGCAGTAATGGAAGGCTCACGCAAAGCTGATGGGACTCCTTCATGCCCAAGGTGAACATTCCACGGAAGTAGTCGCTACTGGCAGCCAGTACAACTCTGTGAACTAACAAAGGATTGTGATGAGTCCATTTGTATGTATCCAAGACTGATGTGATTTTTTAAAAACAATTCTTTGTGTATGAGATGCTTAAATACCTCATAGTTCAGATTAAATTTACTTCTGTACATAGTTGTCTTTGAATTATATTTGGGGTTATCCAATTCCAACTTGACTGCTTAAAGTATGACAGTTACAACGTGATCTTAAAATCATACTAACACGGTTCTCAACTGATCACTTGAGGTCATATTTCCTTTTTCCTGGTTGTTGATACATGCAGCCATAATTCTTTGTTGGTAAACTAAAGAAAAACACAGATTACCCAATAGTTGCTTTGTTGAAGGGAGGGCATTGTTACTCTTATTTTAACAGATTAAATGTCATGTAGGATGATAATGTTATTTCTAACAATGGTACCACACTTTATTTACCATCATTCTCAATACCTTCGCTCAGCGTTATGAAGTCTGTTTTGCAAATAAACTGTTGGCAGGGCTATGACCAACTATCAAATAATGAGCAATGTGATCTTAGATACCAGAGTTATTAATAAATACTGGTTTGACAAGCTCAGCAATGAAGGATCTGGTTTAAGTTTCATTAAGCATACTCTTGGAAATGGCAATCACAGATGATCAACACAAATAAAAAGGAATAGGCTACAAAAAATTAAGCAAATGTTGGAGTCCTCACCATGAAGCCAGCCACCAGCTGCTTCCAGAATCACATCGCAGCCAACTTTGTCCATCCACAGATGTTTGATGAACTGGAGACTAATCGTGAGTTGTTGCTGGGCAGACATCATTTCTTCTCTCTTGGATCTGGCAGCTTTCATTAGCTGCTCTTCTTCCCAGACGCAAAGTTCCAGAACCCGGGGCGCACCCAATATTTGACCAGCAGCTTTTATCTGCTCCATGTTATCTTTGTTCAAACATGATATGAATCCGGTGTAGGCAAACTCCACAATGGCCCCCAAACCAACCTGTTGCAAATCAGGACCAAAAGACAATGACCACTGTCGAACCCTTTGATTGTTTTCCATTTTGCTTCTACAGAGATTTTTGCAAATGAGGGAGCTGACGGCAGCCAAGACTGGGGAGTGCACACAAAAACTCTTCCCATCGTCTGCGTTCAAAGTAAGGTCGGTGAGAATGGCAGAGTCTTTGAACTCATTCAAGGTTTGGAATATCTTAGTGGGGTAATCATCTTTGCAGTAAATCTTTATATCATCCTCCTCATCGTTTTCTTTTTCTTCTTCTTCATCGGTGGAGCATTCAGCCTCTGAAAATCCTTCCAGAAAATTCTCACAATCATCTTGGAACTCCTTTTGGGTTACCCAGGAGTTTTTGACTGTCTCGTCATTATCGGTCACCTTTTCACCCCCATCCTTTTCATTCCTGTCCTGCATAGTCCAAGCCTCAAAGAGAACACTATAGCTTTTCAGGTTCTTATTGTCATTGCCTTCTAGCTCCTCTGAATCATTGTCCTGGGTCTCATTATGCTGTTTTTCTTCTTCATTCTTGGACTCTGTCTCAGAATCTTCGCTGTTAACCGATTGCCCTGAATCTGAAAAGTCGTCTTCTTTGCATTTTGCATCTTCCTGAGTGCTGTGATTTTGAATATTCTCAGCCAAATATTCTCTACTTGTGTGATCTTGGAGTTCTCTCTGGAAATGGCATCTGCTCTGCTCCATCTGCTGCTCCCCCTCACTATCATCATCCTGAGAGTGCTTTTCTGCACCTATCTGCCTCATATCCACCTGACTGTCCTCATTCTCCTCAGTCTCTCTCATGCTGTCATTTTCTCCTTCCAAATCAATCTGTTCCTCCTCATCCAGCTCACTGTCTGCCCTGCTGTTCAGACCATCGTCGTATGTCTCGATCTTTTGTGCCTCACACACCTCGCCGTCTTCCTCTTCCACCATTTCTCTTTCAACATCTTCCTGCCCCTCATCTTCCTCTGGTTTTTGCATCTCCAATCCATCATCCTCATCAATCGTGTCCCTGTCTTGTTCTGCCTTTAGCTTCCCCTCAAGTCTTTCCTCACAATAACCTCCTTGCCCCTCTTCATCACTATCCTCTTTTTCTATTTCTTTGGTTCTCTTCCCTTTCTCACACTCATCCTCTTCACTGCTGTCACTATCCTCACCTTCTTTCCCCTCCTCGTCTTCCTTTTCTTCATGGTCCTCCACGGCATCAGCCCAGTGCCTCACCCTCTCCCTCCACTGTCTCCTCCTCCTGTTCTCCATCTTTCTCTTCCATTCATTCCACTCCTTTTGGTGGCATGGATGAGCCACGGCCATACCGTCAAATAATGCTGCAGTCTCGTCCAATATCTTTAATATTTCAACACATTCATACCTGACTTAGCTCCGAGGGGGCAGATCACTTGCTTTTTGCACAGTCCTTGTGGATAACTGCGGTGTGAGATTGCAGATCGTGCGTGTCCAACTTTAATCCACTGTTGGATGTGTTAAATGTATCTATTGTTGATGCACGTGGCTCCACTTCTTGTTCTTCTGGCAGCTGTGCTGTATGCTTGCTCCAGTCCTGCCTCTCACTCCTTTTGTATGTGAAGGTTGCTGTGGCATGAGTGCCAAAGTCCTCAAAATGTCACCAAAAAAGCTGCCGTGTACTGTATCACGGGGTGATCGAAATTCTAAACCGTTTGAGGTGTCTGTTTTGTTGTCTGTCCTTTGTTATAGTAGGTTTCTCAGGCAGGTAATGCATTTCATCCTAACATTCTAAAAGTAACCTATGTCACATTCTTTGGCTGTATAGATCACGCACTACGTCTCTTTCATTTCTGAAGTGAAAATACTTCCCAGGAAGAAATAAGTAAGGGACCTGGAGGCAGCTGAATCACTGCCCATCCGAGGCAATGAACTGTGGCATCTCAAGAAGTCTTGGCAAGGTTCTTTAATTCGAGGTCATATGACTCGGTCATCAGAAATGAATGCTTAGAGTGTCATCAGGGGGATCACGTTGCTCCTCCACATCCAAACACAGAAGCATCTGGGCCAGGGATCAACAGGCAAAAGTGGCAGAAGGAGGCCGAAAGGCCAAAGGAAAACATTCGACACCTGTCGGCTCATCGGCTTTTGTGTCAGTAGAGAAAGAAAACACTGGGTCACTGTACCCTTGACATGAAAAATAGCAACACAGGTCAAAGGTGAGTGTAAATTCACCCTCACAAACATGCTCTCTCGTTGTCCCCCTTGTGAGGAAGGCCGCTGGATTTGGTTGCATCAGCTGTTTGTGTCTTCAGTGTCTTCTGTTTTCTCACTTCATCATTAGTCAGTCAACAAGCCTCTCAATATATTATGTTAATATGCTTTTTTTCTATACGACTAGGATAAAAAAAAACCCATTTCAAATGATTAGAGTAACACTGATTTTGTCCACACAGTGAGAGCCTCTAATCAAACTTTAAAGTTTAAGCAGTGTGAGTGGGCGAGCTGGAAATTAAACTGGTGAGTAACATCTCACTTTAAAAAGAACTCCTACCTGAGGACACAGTGACTGTGCTCTTCTCACAGCCATTCACATCCCTCAAAAACACAGTATAAACACACAAAGGTTGAACTGAGCAGACAAGTGAGTCAGACTATGCATTCGAATGCCAAAGACAATTTTTTGGGCATCGACACAAAAACGTTATTTCGAAACCTGATGAGGCGACCCAAAGCCAAAGCACAGAGAGGATTTTAATCACTTGCATGCTGAAATCCAGGGTTTCCAAACACTGCGGATGTGAAGATGCCGTAGTCTTATTATCGCCTACTCTGAGTGTCAAGCTCTGAGCCGCGGTTCAAAATCTACTCATGATAAGTCGGTTTCTTCAGCAGCTTTGGTTGTTACCATGACAACTCTTTCAGGGAAAGTAAAGTGGAAATGATGACCTTGTTATGGGACATCCCCCCCTGTACTACACCCGCCACAAGGCCTTTGCCTCAAGTGCAAGAAGACTGTTGGGAAATGAGGCTAGGAATCCTTTGTTTGTGTCATTGTAGCCAAAATGCAATAATAATAAGCATTAAAAGCAAGAGTACACTCTTCAGTACCCAAAATATTAAATTCAACAAAGATATGTAAAAGGTTGAGATCATGAGGACATTTTTAATATTTCAGGCCATAGTTATACAAAAAAGACCAGCTATTTTCTATTAAGCTATTGGACAACCCAATTAGCTTAGCTTAGCATCACATAAAGCCGGCGGGAACCAGTATTATATTCTGCCACCAGATCTAATAGATATTACATTTTGTATTTATTTTGTTTTTAATGACAAAAAATTTAAATAACAAAATAAATTGGAGGATTGAGTGAGCCCCAATATTCATACTGATAAGGTCGGTCTTGAGTCAGCAGTTAGGTTTGAATTGAGCTAATTTAAACTATCTTTTGAAACGCTATTTATTAGAATTCTTACTAAGCCACATTTTCACCCAAATGGCTGAGGTTAAATGTGTATTATTGTCGGCAGGTGGTCCTGCCATTCATTTTGTGCACCATTTAAAGAATGCTTACAACCCGTAGGGAAACAAAACACAAATAATATTTGACATGTGACAACTGGAAGAAAACTTGAGAATTTTTTATTTTTTGACAAAATACAATCTAGTATTATTGAACTTCTATTGCCTCATGAAACACAGAGGTGGACATACATTTACAGAGGGCATAAAAATGTACATAAAAAAAAATACAGCAACCTGGAAGAAAAATAAGGGTCTTACAAACAACTCAACGTTGCCAATACAACTAAATATGTGCATGAATTGTGAACAATTCTCTGCAGGGTTGCAAGCTAACAATAAGTAGATGCTGATTTTACTTTGAGGACAGCTTTTTTTTTTATATAAACAGACGCAAGTGGAGCCAGGAAGAAAGAGAAGGATGAACCTTTTTTTAAATCACGGCAACAAGTAAAATAATCCATGTAATCCAGTCATTAAACCAGCAGATGTTCTGTAGATTATGCATGACAGGAGTGATATCAGATCTCTACTGCTATTGCTTTTTGAATTGGGTCACATTCTATTTTAGAGCCACAAGTCCCTGCATTAACAAAACGTATTCCGAAGAGGAAAAAGGGAAAGAAGGAGACAACGGCGTCAAGGACGTGAGAGACAAAGAGCACTCAAGATGCCGCAGTAGGGACCAGAGGAATTGCATAGTGCAGCAGCATCGGATTTCACAAGTTTTCAAACGCGATTATATATATTTTTTTCCCTTTTTGACAGTACCTGCACAACCCTGAACCCCCCAACCCCCCCCAAACACGTCGTGGCTCATTAGAGCAGGGGGGGGAAATGATGGGTCTATTTTTACAAATGAGGGGGTGAGAAAGTGAGACTTAAGAGGAGATTTTAGACAGAAGCAAGCACCGACTTTGTGCTCACAGCGAGCAAACTCCAGACGGAAAATGTACAGATCGGTGCACTATGAAAGACTTAAAGCTGAGCCTGTGCTTATTTTTTGGTTGGGTCCAGAAACGAGACGTTTAACACCCTTCCGGAGTTTCAGAAGTTCATATATTCTCAAATGAAAAATGTATAATGATCTTTCCCTGTCGTGAACCTTATATTTTGAAAGAGTCATAATCTAATGCTCCATATTATATTTTTCTTTTTCAGGAAAGCTGAAATGTTTTGTCACGCGCTGGCCCGTGACAGGAGGAAAGACACGATAAAAATGACAAAAGAGAGAGAGAGGAGGAGGGTAACGGGTAGAGAGAGCGACGGCGGCCACAGCGACATCGGTTTGGATTGTCGTGGCGATTCCGACGGGTTCCGCTCTCCGTCCGCGTTCGGCCGACAAATGACCAGCGGCCGGACCTGGGACACGCTCTCCTGAAGGGCCAGACCAGACAAAGACCATTCAAAATATTGGACAGCTTTTTGGTAAGTGTGGAACATGTTTTTTTTTCTAAGATTGTTTTTTTTATGTGCTTTAGAGCACATATTTGGGGATCTCTTATCAAAATTAGGGGCAGTTGTTACTTTTAGATGTTAAAAGAAAGTGTGGTGAACTTGTGTTTGTCCTTCTCTTCAGGTGTCCCTGCTGCTGTGATGTTTGTGGTCCCTATTTCCTGTCCTCATAAGCCCCAGCTGGGAGAAGCCCCCCCTTCCTGAGTCTGCCAGAGGTTAAAAAGGTGTTTTTTGGTTTTCACAGTCCCCTTGTAGCACAGTCAGGATGGGAGATTGGACAGAAGAGAGCATTAAGTGCAATCTGCTGGTTTCCTCAGCCAGGACACTTTAAATTGGACATATTTGGGATTTAATTAACTGGAATTGATTGGATTACCGCTGCCTGAAAATGAACTGAATTCCAATTGACATGAATTGTATTGTATTTTGTCTCGACATTTGGCACAGTGTGAATAGAGGTCAAATTGATTGAAAAAGCATGAAAGAACCTTATAACAAAAGGGACAAACGGCAGATTTAAAACAGTTCCTGGCTGACAGAATTGAGCGGGCGGCGGGCGGCGCCGGACAGAGGGCGCCTTTGGCCTCTACCTCCAGAATGGTCCTGCTGTGCTCTCTGTCCGGGCTGAGCCGGAGGGTCCAGCGGTGCGACCTGTGGCTGCGCCCGCCGTCGTCCTCGCTCTCGGTGGTGTCCTGCCGCGCCACCCGGGTGCGCTTGCGCCTCCGCGAGCTGATTCTCTGCAGGGAACCGGGCTCCTGCAGCCTGGGTCAATGAAACGGGGGGGGGGGGGGTCAGTGCACCACAACCACAACCCAAGCACCGTTTCGGCCGCCGGCCCCCCTCGCACCTGCAGTCCGTGTCCTCTATGTCAGCGTCTGCGTCGCTCTCTCCCTGAGGGTCAGATAATACGCACTCCTCCTGCGGCGGGGAGAAACAGCGCGAGGCATCAAAGACACAAAACACCAGGGTGAATCATCGCTGACCGTCAGCGTTAGTTGGGTGACGGCATCTGTCTGCGGGAGCGTGAACAGGCGTCACCCCCCCATCGCGTCACCGCTGTTAATACGCGTGAATCAGCGGACGCCTATATCCGCTGCACGACCAATGAGCTCAGAGCTCATGTAAATAGCGGCCTATTTATATCCCGGTTGCATCGATCCACTCGGCGAGCCCACTGGACCAAGATGGGGAGTTATTCCTGGATGTAAAGTCATTTTGGCACAATGGGGATTCCAGTCCGAGACACCGGCGTCTCCGATACATCAGGTATTCTGTCACCCTAAGCCTGATATTAACCAGAAGAGAAGGGAAAACATATTTTTTGATAAACAGGAACATCATTCTGAGGTGAAAGATTCCCTTTTGGATATATTGAGCTCTTGTTTGAGAAGAAAGAATAGAAAGACTTAGATTTCTGAGATCTATTGTAGTTAGTCAAAAAGCATTTTTTTAATAACTTGCTATGGAGATTGCCTAATTTGGGTGTCTGATAAAACCGTGCAGAAAATTTGGATTAAAACACATAATTTGCACATTGGTTTATGTGTGTGATTTGTAAAACTTTGTTCAAGAGCCAAACAAAGTCTGCACATAGTATCGAAAAGGGAGTGTTTTGGATCGAGGCTTTACGGGGCCCATTTCCTCCCCAACAAGCAAGAAGTGGGTACTCCCGAAAGCCTTTTTTAGTTTGTTTTTCTGTAAAACATGAGGTGCACGGTGCAGTTTGTCCAATATGTGTTCAATTTCACCGTCAGCACATGTCCATGTTGACCCCCCTCCTATCCAAACAGATGTGGCAGACTATTAATGATAGATTTTGCCATTTTTTTAAAAGACACTGCAATTAATGATTGCCACTTTGCTAGCGAACCAGCGTGTATCCCCTTATGACAGTCACCCCAGTCACTCCAAGTCCCTCGTTTTTTGGGACAGGAAGCGAACGCCACACATTACCTCTGTGCCGTATCCCTCGGAGTACCTGGTTACCATCGCTCTGCTCCGGCCACAGTGCTCACACAGCGGCGCGTCCTGGCCACAGAGAGAGGGGGAGACAGCACACGAGTGAGCCAGCCCTGGAAACGCGTGGCGGGATAACGGACGGAGGCCCTCCGTGAGCTCCGGCTGAGCGGCGGCAGCAGACACTTAAGCACTCACCGGCGTGGGCGTGTGCGCTTCAGAATAAAGCGTACAGGGACCGGCCTCGCACAGACACACCGCGTCTGCCTCCTCACAACTCGCCCCCATCTGAGACGGAGACAGATGAACCAGCGTTGACTCCTATCCCTTTTATGGCGAGTCGGGGGCGCACCGACAGAGGTAAACAGACGGAGGAGCGCTAACTCGGGCTCTCAGATGGTGTCGCCCAAAACTTTTAACATCGCGCGCCTCTTAATGGCTCGGTGATGTAATCTCGGGGCTTTTAACCTTTCCTGCCTACTTGTGTTTTCCGCCGCTCAAACACGGAGGCTGATCAGAGTCCCGCTGAAAGATGCAGAGGTTAGGGAGGCTTGCAGAGTGATTTGATTGGATATGACAAGAGAGATTGCACCTATACTGAAACGCATCGTGGCGCGTTGCCTGGTGGTGTCAAGCTATTTGTTAAATTGTGCTTAAATGGGAGGAAAAAGCGGTGGAAATGAGCCGCCTCACCTCACAGTCGTTGTCAGACGTCTCTCCGGAGGTAAACAGGCTGTGGGAGTCCCTCCGCAGCATGACCTCTGACCTCTGACCTGTCTCACACGCTCACATTGACCTGCTGGGACACATAGATTTTTTTTAAAATTATTTTTCTCCTTCATGCTAGGGTCTGCAGAAGCTTCTCTGTGATGTTATATAAACCTGCCTGACTGAAATCAGGATCAAGGTTCCCCCTGCTAGGTTGCTGTTGTTGTTTAAATTACTCATTTGAACGACTTTTTGCTTCCCGAATGCTTACCGAATAGGTTCGGCAAACACCTCGGTGTTAATGTGGTGTAGAAACGATGTTCAAACAGCGAGGTGGTGTAACAGATTTGTTCGTGGCATCCCCCTCACTGTAACATCTGCTCAGCTGGGTCCGCACTCCCATTACGTAATAGCCACGACAGTCACTGTTAGATCTCCCGATAACTTTTCACTTTAGTTCGACGCGAAAGCGGAATTTGAATGTTTAACGTTTTGAAGATTTAAAAAAAAAATTTCTCTACATTTTCCCCACTGAGAACAGCGGAAAGTCAAAACAATTCAAAACAATGAAGCGGGCTCAAAAAGAAGGAACGGAGCGACCCGTCTTACCTCAAAAGCATCCTGTCCGAGAAAGCAGCATGAAGCCAGAAAAAGGTGAATGGAGTTTTGCGCTTAGAGGAAGAGCCCGGGGATGCCGCGGCGCGTGGCACTATCGCGCGGGGAAGCCATGAGCTCGCGCTGCGTGCGGACGTTTGACATTGTGGCAAATCCTCCGCGTGATGTCAGCCACGGCGATGACAGAACCGGCGGGCGCGCGCTCACTCAACCAGCCGCGGACGTCCCCAGAGCGGAGGAAAGGAGCTACTTCCGGCCGGGCTTTTCAAAATAAACGGCGCCGGAGGGGGACTCCCTTAGATAAAAGTATTTGAAGAAACGTATTTGACGGTGATATGATTCAGCCACATTAGGTTAACAGTTACTTATGTCCAAATGGACTCATGACATGAGGAACACACCCAGCCTGAGGATTCCAGCAAAACTGAGATGGTAATCGGGGGAGCTTGGTCACTGGGTGAGGCAAATCTACCTCCATAGCTGAAACCGCCCCATAAAAATGGTTCTGTGAACCCTCCAATTAAATTCTCCAGAGAAAGGAGCCTACCGACATCATCACTAGTTGCAAGTGCCTTTGCATTGTTGTAGTAAATGCTGTTGGTGGCACTGGTATGTTATTGTCTTTGAGGAAAATGAGACGTTCAGTTGTTGTTCAGTCTTGACTGGTTTCAACTCAATTCAATATGATGTCTTATGGAGAAACTTTGATAAAGCTCAGAGCAAAACTCACTGCTTGCATGAATTAATCAATCTGTTGTTTGATCGATCTGGTTATTTGTGTTAATCTTGATGCAAATTAACATAATACGGACCATATATCTGTCTCAGTGACATTCTGAATCAAAGTCTTGACCCCTGACCTCAAACAGGGAACGATTACATGTCTTTTTTTTCTCCCTGATTTTGATCTTGGCTCTGGGTCTGTAGTTGTGCTGGGACACGCAGAAGAGCGGGAGAAAAAAACGAGACACGTTTATTTACACGACCGCCAGCACACAAACACACACAAGGAGATATGGAAGATCACGTTCATTTTTATCCCAGCAAATCAACCGGAACTATGTATTCCCACAAGGAATCTGCCTGTTTCTGCAAACGTGCCACATCCTCACCAGAACAGCTCTGCTAAGATCATGTCTGTTTGAACAAAATCAACTAAATCAAAACATATTTTGTGATGCCTGTATATAGTCGGAATTAAATAAATACATGAATGAATTCAACAAAATTGTGAGAAAAAAGCAAAAAGCACTAAGTAAGTATAATGGATGCTCTCCAAAAGAACTGGGGCAAGCATTCACTCTGTATACTTTGCAGTAGACTTTAAATCCTCCATAAACCCTCTGTTGATAAATAGTTCTTAAATTGTCCCAATCTTTGCCACTAAAGTTCATTTTAGTAGAAATCTCCCATGAGCCCCTCTCCCACATGTAGAGACCAAGGCCACTGAGTAAGATAAAGAGCCATTTGGAGAGCTAATGGCAATGGGAGGGATCCTCATTAGGGCTGTATGTGGACCATGCAAATGACCCCAGAAACAGCCGTCCACTCTGTGCTTTAACAGCCTTTCTAGACCGTTCAGGACCGTTGGACATTATCCAACAATGTTTCTAATGCTGTACACAGAGACCTTAGAAGGGGTCAATACATCTAAGATGATCGCTAGTATTTTATCCAGAAGATTGCACAAAAGCAGTTCAGGCAAAATTTGGTCAGTCGTTTTCGGTTATGTGGTCATGGGGGGGGGCAAGTGGAGGCTAAAGAGGAGGGAAATAACCGATCTTCAGAAGCAGATAGAGAGGTTTGTGTATACACGGCTGGCAATACAAACAGGAGATGGAGGCTTGATAAGGAAATTAAGGGAAAGGGCGCAACTCAAATAAACCAAAACTGATGCACCCTGCATCTTTCTCCCTCCGTCTCCCGACTGAAACTCCCTAACTGTCACTCTGAGAGAGTTAGAGGGAGATGAAAGTCAGGGGATAGCTGCAATGGCACGTCATTTGGATATTCTGGAAGTGCTGCAGAAAGGCATTCTTCACATTTTCTCATCGGAGTCCGAATCGGGACTAAACACGACCTGTCAGAACTCAGAGGAATTCTTTTCTTTTCACTGGGGCTGCCGGATTCGGGCGCTCGACCAGGACAACAGCGGACTCTTGGAACAGGCCTGAGTTACCGTTTTAGATCTGAGGGGGGAAAAAAAACGCATCTTCCGGGGCAATTACAGGTTACGGTGAAGTGGGAGCAGCCAGAGGTGGCTCGGGAGCTGTGATATGGGCGTGTGAGCTATGCTTCTGTGGTGGACAAGTGAGACGGAGCATCCACAGATATTCAGATCAGGTTTTGGTGATTGTGAGGTGGCGGCTGACTGCAGAGTGAGAAGGGAAAAAAACAAAGAAATAGCCGACTTTTGCCTTTTTGTGAAAGAAATGGACTAAAATAACATGCTCTTCGCAATATGCTTCTAAAAAGATGCATTTTTTCCATTGTGAGGAACACAATCAGAGAACCGCTACTGAATTGTTCGATCTTTTAAAAAAAAATTGTTTTATGTATGTGAGTCAGAAACAACTTTGTTGAATCAATGAAAGAGTCAGATCTAACAAAGGACCTGAACTGGGACTTTGACCTATCCTGGGATTCCTACATCAAACCAGCTGCCCGACTCTGCCTCAACACCTTGGATTTTTCCGACCTGTGCGATGAGGACGACAGTGGAGAGGACGAGGGAACCCAGAGAGCAAAGGAATCCAGCACATGCTCCCATGGACCCCCAGCACCCCCTCCTCTCCCTCCTCTTGCCCCACCGCTACCCTCAGCTTGCCCCAAAAGTACAGAGACTAAAAGTCGCACATTGAAGCTCCACTGGAGAGAACTTCCAAACCTAGCCCCTCTTCCCAGGATGACGCGCTTCGGGCAGCAGACGATCTGGGCGGGACTGGAGCCAGTGCATTTGGACACTAACCGACTGGAGTACCTGTTTGAATCTAAGACCAGTACCGCCTGTTTTAATGTGGTGTCCAGGCAACAGGTGAGAGTGACAACACCAGATGATTTTGCAAAAAAAAGGAGCCTTGAACTTTTTCACTTTGTTCTAACTTATCTTGGCTCCTGTGAGAAAAACTACCAATCAGAAAACATCTGAAAACCCTCTGCATCAAACCCGTCTTATCAGATTAGTTAGTTTGACTAAATATTCTCCATGGCCAGTATTTTGTTTGTCCATTGTCCACACTGCAAGGATTTTGTTTATAGTGATTTTTATGGGAATTTTTTTAGGTTGGATTATCGCAAAATAATTAAATTACTTGGTGAAAGTTCAAAAACGTTGTCAATTCAGTCAAGAAAGCAATCAGGTACCATTTCTACTCATTAGGTCCAGCTGCTCTAAACACAAGATATTGACTTTTTCTTAACCACAATTTGTCTTGGTATGTTTTATTTTGCTACGACGGCCCTCCATTTGTTTTACCGGAACAAAACCTATCACAGGGAACTCGTGGAAATACTGTGGAACCTGTAGAAATACTGACAGATACGGTTTCCCAAAATAAAGAGACAAACCTCATGAGACTTTCGGCTCTAATTGGGACAAAAGAGGTACCATAGCTGCTAAAACTTTTATTGTGATTTTGAGGGCTGTGCACACTGACTTTTGCTTCACAATAGCTTAATCTTAACTTCAAATTGCAAGGAAAAGAAGTAGTAAGCATGCTTATGTGTCCAATAGTATTTTTAGGCATGCTCCTCATTAGTATGATCTCACAAAACAGTGTATAGGACTCATATTCTGCAGCTTCTTGATCCTTTCATTCCGAACACAGAAGCAACAGCCCATCTCAGTGTTGGGAATGAAGCGGAGTAACATCATAACCATTGCCCTGAGCAGCCTGCCTCCCCCTCGTCTCCTCCCCCCAGCTATTTACAGCATGGACAGCAGCGTACTGGACAGAGAAGACGTTCAGGTACAGTAAACGTCGCATATTCAATATTTCATACCCTCATCTTTTAACTGACTACTTCCGTTTTATTTGCATTGCCATGTACCACAACTTGACAGGAAGCACAGAGTTCAAGAGACCCATTTGAGTTGATCTTGTTGATTTCTACTTTAAAACAGCGTCTCCAAGCTTTGATCCCAACAGAAGAAGAACTTGGTCTGATCAAGGAGGCCAAGACCCAGAACCCTCATTCTCCTCTGGGGCAGGCCGAGCTCTGCTTGCTCACTCTGGGGGAAATTCCTCTTCTGAGCACAAGGCTGCAGCTGTGGTCCTTCGCTCTGGACTACGACTCCTTAGAGAGTGTAGGTGAAAGCCTTGAATACAATCCAAAGATGTCACAAGTGGGAAGAATACAGCATTGCTTTGGTGGCTTAACCTCCTGAGACCCTGCGTCCTCATGAGGACATTGCATTTTTGGCTCTTTACCATGATCCTTCTTTTTTCTTTCCACTTTGACCTGTAGGCCTCATAGTAGACGCTATCAGACACAAATGTTTGAAATCTAAAATAAAATGGTTTAATACATTTTCAACCAATCATGTTCTTATTGCATGATTAAAATGTTGTAAATAAGATTTTTTTATTGTCAGAACCAAATTGCAGAGAAAACATTTAATCAAATACATATTTTAAATACAAAGATAAACCCACTGAGACTATATGAAGAAAAGCTTCCTGAACCATGACAAAGTCTAGTTATTAAACGTACACCAAATAAAAGCTCGGGTCTTGGGAGGTTAATTTTCTTTATTTCGTCACAGTACCCTCTAACTATCCCCTTCATCTTTAAAGGAAATTGCAGAGCCTCTCTTCCATCTGAAGTTGGCCATGGAGCAGCTGGCAGCCAGTCAGACCTTCAGGTGTATTCTGGCCACTGTGCTGGCCATTGGAAACTTTCTCAATGGGTGTAAGGTGAGTGGCTCCAACTTTTTCCTCTTTTTATGTCAAAACAGATTTGTTGTTGCTCATTAAAATGCCAACAAATTATGTGAATGTCCCCAGGCCCGTGGTTTTGAGTTGAGTTACCTGGGCAAGCTCTCTCAGGTGAGGGACACACACACCCGCCAGCCTCTGCTTCATCACGTCTGCATACTCCTGATGCAGCTCTACCCGCAGTCCTCTGACCTTCACTCTGACATCACCGCCGTCACCAAAGCTGGAAAGGTGTGCAGTCACTCCTATATGTTTCTAATGGTCCTGAACTCTGTCTCGAATGCGGTATCTGAGAGCAGACGGTTTTTCTTTGTACGTTCATGATACATTAATGATACAAAAGATAAATCAGTGATAAAAGGCAGTGAATATGTGGTCAAAATGAAGCGTCGTACTCAGACTCTTCCCTTTTCTGCAGTGTGACTACTCCCAAGTGCAAACTAGCTTCACTCAGCTCGAGGCCATGTGCAAAGCATCATGGGAGCAGCTGAAGTTACTGGAGAGGGCCGAGGAAAAGAGGAAAAAGGAAAAGAGGAAAGGGAAAAACAATGAGGTCTCGTCCTCCGAGAGTTCGTTTCGTCATCGGCTCCCAAAGATTCTGAAGGAGTGCGAGGAAAGGCTGAAGGTTCTCAGAGCGGTCCATCGCCGAGTCATAAACAGGTGCGCTGCACGTACCGAGAACATCGACAGAGAAAAATAAATAGAGCTTTAATATATTAACGGCCTGTTGTTTTACCGAAATTCTTCCCTGATTCAAGGTTCCACTCTTTCCTCCTGTTCCTGGGCTACTCGCGGGCCATGGTGAAAGAAACCAAAGCGGAGGACTTCTGTAGAACGATCAGCAACTTCTCGCTGGAGTACAGGACCACAAGGCAATCCATCCTTCTGCAGAGAGAAAGAGAACGACAGAAAAGCGGAGCAGAAAGCCCAGGCCCTAGCACGCCTGTGGGCAGGAGGAAATGCCAGAAAACTCCATCACAGGTTGTCATGTTGGATGTTGTCGAACAGATCCCATTTGCACAATTAAAAGGAGAAAAGTTTCCTTTTTTCCATCTGATAAGGTATTAACCCCAGTGTTGACTCACCTTGCAGGAAAGTGATGAACAGTGTAGGCTGGAGGAGGTACTGAGTACACCTGAGTCCATTTCGAAGCTGGATGCCACTTTCCCTCGAAGCCGTAGGAGGATGACTGACATTCAAAGTACTTAATGTGCACTTTATCCTTGTTTTGAGCCATTTTCCTTCTGTACATTTACATATGAATTATGTCACAATGAACAATTATTTGTTTCCTTCTCAGGTCCACTCTTGCGGAAACTGAAGCGGTGACCCTGCTAGCTTTGTTTTCAGTCACTGGGGAGTTTTATTCATGAAATCGTTTTCTCATTGCCGTGTCACTTCTTTATCATATAGCAATAATAATTGAACAGTTAAATGGAATGTTATGTGGTGGTCATTTGCAAATACCATGTTTGAGATTTTAATGAAAACAAAAGTGTGCCACTGAGTAAAAGACAATAATAAAAAAATCCAAATGAATGCCAAAATCTGTCAACTCTGTCTTGAAGACATACCATAGGGAATAAAATCTGTGTTTTTACATAAAAGCAGTGTTTACATATTCAGTTTATTGAGAAACGACTTTAGTCATTGGATTATAGATACATTATGAGATACCTTGTTAATTTTGTTTCAATTGAGGAATAACAAGTGAGTCACAAACGCAATGCCGCCTGTTACTCTGGCATTCATTACCACAGCTTCGGAGCTTTCGCGTCTCATCACACCGTCAGAATAAAAAGGAGGGTACGGAAGTCGTCATTCGAGAGAAAGACTGACAAGTCCACCTACCAATCTGTGAAAGGTGCGTCCCAAACGGATGTCAAAATAATCCAATCAGAAACCGGGATGCTGCAGTAGGCGTGACTCTCCCGTGGAGTAAACCCTTCGACGCCATTTCGTGTCAATTGTTTCAAGGTGATACAAACGACGAGCGGATGTATGTCTTCTCAAGTAAAACGAGCTATCAGTTGTTCTTGTTTTTAGTGTTAAGCTCTTGGTGAGTATTTTTACATGAGAGATTTTTTTTTCCGCTTTTTACATTTTTCTGACTTTGAGGCATCTCTGGGACTTTTTTGTTTTTGTTTTTATTTTTATTGCGTTTTTCCTGGCTGGTATTCCCGAGACTGTGATGGCTGTTGTGGCGTACATTTTGTGATGGCGATATAAACTGCGCATAAAGTAGTTTAAAGTAGCTTCCGCTGCAGTACCAGTATACATTTTTTATCCTTTTATTTTTGGGCTTTTGTTTTTCGAGTAAGATACTTCGAAACTCCTTGTTCCTTCCTCGTTTTTTTTTTCTTCTTCCAGGCATGCAGTATTACCGTAATGCTTATTGAAACGGTGGTTCGTTTTTATGGACAGAAATATAGAGCTTTGCTCCAAGAAAGTCGTCGGTTTTCAGAAAAAATCAACCTTTTAAATGTTGCCTTTCATGTTCGTACACTGTATCCCTTCAACATTAAACCTGGTTTTCACAGTCCTCGACGTTGGGTCCTAGCATGTATTTTTCATATTTTCCTCGCAAACGTGGGCTTCGCTCGGGCTTAACGTTTTCTGATGCCTCTATTTTGCTTTTCTCCTGACAGTATAACGATTTACGAACAAGGACGGGTTTCTGGAATCTTATTTTGCATCAGTGTATAATTTGTGGGTTTTATTTTTCACACGTCGACGTGAATGATGATGCTAACATGCAGGGCTGTTTAAGCTAGCCGCACAGCTGAGCTGAATGGTACCACGTTAAGGGGAGGCCTTTGCGTAATTTTTGCTCTTATCTTGGGGTTTTTGTCCGTCCACTTCTAATAATCCCATGCTATCCTTCTGAAAATGTCTGAAGTGTTGGGGGGGTGGCGGGCCACCTGATCCCTCAAAACCAGTTATGCTGTTGGGTGCCCTTGAGGCACATCTATGGAAACCAATAGGAACAAACTAGAAGGGAAATTACATAGAAAAATTGGCTTGTTTTGTTTGTTTTTTTTAAGATGCAACAATTCCCATTCCCAGCTGAACATTTGGCATCACAAAAGAAAAGGAAAAATCCGATCACTGTCTGTATTTTTGTCCATTTGTTTCCTCTTTTAAAAGAGATCTGCTTTAATTTCTATTATAATTCAAATTGTAAAAATCCATGTAATATTGAAAAATAGATGGTTTGTCATTAAGGTATCAAACAGTTGTGAAAATGAATGTGGAATTGGTGAGGATGACACATCTATGATCTGAAAAAAATATACTTGAATAAATGCAATAACATGTAAAGTAAACTTCTATTCCACGAGCAAATGAAACCGATCAATGGGCAGTTTGTTATGTCATTGTATCCTGATTGGAAGTGATGGAAACAGGACTCGCCTCTGGAGTTTCATGTAAGAGTAACTGGAGCTGGTAGCTGTTTTTTTTGCTCTGTGGGGTATCCCCTGCTTTTTACAACACATTTTCCTGTTCATTTTACCGAAGAGCGGTTGACCTTTTTTTTTTCTAATTCTCTTTTTTTGTTTCCTTTTTAGTTTTTGAAGCCACTTTTTTCAGAAGCAGCAAATCGTAAGTTGGTGTCACCTTTTTTTTCTTTTTTTTTTCTTTTTGATCCCTTTTTTTCCATCTCAGCTTCTGCCTCATTTTTAATATTCCACTTTTCACCCCTTTGTGATGTACCCCTGATGTTTCTCCCCTTTTGAATTTCAAGTAGCATGTAGTTGATAGTTTTTTGTTTTTGTTTTTTTTATCTCACTTATGGCCCTTTTTAAACAACCCCTTCAAATATTTCTAAGTTATGACAATCGGACTGTATTTTTAATGTTTATTATTGGGCCAAAACCCCTTTTTTGGGCTTCGTCCATAAAGCTCTTAAATGAAAGGACCTCTAAAGGAAAAATTACACCTTGCTTTTATGTGTGTTTGTGTTTTTGTGAGTGTGAGTGTGCATGACATTTAATTGAGTCCAGTTTGGTCCATTACTCGCATAATCAAACTTTTTTGCCTTTTTATTAAACGCATCTTTCAAAAACAATGTTTTTTCCCCCCCATTAAAACAGCATGAAGTGTCATTCATTACTAACTCCATTATCAGTCACGTAACAATGACTCTACTTTGAATAAATCTTGTGAGGTGCACTTTTTAGCACACAAAAAAATCTTTGGTGATAATTTACAAAGTTTTGATTTTAAACTCTTGAATCCGTGCATGTTGACGCACGGCTGCACAATAGCAGTGGGAACATCTGTTCCCGTCGCATAGCTGTGCTTGCTTTCATTATTTTGCCTCATCTGCCCCCCACAGTTCAAGCACCAACACGGCACAACTGGGACCGTTACTACCCAAAAGTGTGCCATAAGCCCCAGACAAGGCCACCAAGAGCAGAGGTGTTCAGTATGGTTATATTGAGAAATTATCCCCCCCCCCCCCCGGTCAGGCAACAGCTTAGCTGCCATATGTCCCACAATGTTGAATTCTTAATGAATATCCTCAGGAGACTTTAGAATGTGTTACAGTCATGTGAAAGACCCCAAAATGATTTGGTTTAGAGATGGTCACGGAGGGGTGCAGGAAGTTCATAGTCAATGACGGGATAAGCCATAAATCCCTTAACCTTATTTTGGGGAACTGTACTGCACACACCAGCTGATATTTTGGTCTCCCACGTGAACGCAAAGCTATCCGGTTCTTTAATTGCTATTGCCTAATTGGTTTTGTGTCATATAAATAAGAAAATAGATTTTTTAAAATGTTTTAAATCCCACATTGGTAAATGGCCGAAGCCTGGAAATTGTTGCTTGAACCCCGGCATGCCTCCCAGATTTGGACACATTTGTGCAGAGGCCTGGTGACAGACAGACATGCAGTCAGCCCGCCAGCTTATAGAGACTTCTTCGCCAGAATCGCAAAAGGGGAGAGCGGCACGCTTCGGCCCAGCAGCCGGCTGCAAACCATGTAATCCCCAGCTAGCAGCTGCTGGCCGGCGAGCGGGAGGCTTCACACCGCGTTCTGGCCAGCCGGAGCCCAGGCGGTCGGTTTCAAGATGGAAGAATTCTCCCTTATTGATTGGACAAAAACAGAAGCGCAAAAGCCTCAACTAAAGCCGGCCTCGAGTTTTCTGCGACGTGTTCTAGCATTTGCCATGATTATGAAAGCCCCCACCCCCCCCCTGCAGTGTTGCATAACTTTGCAGTCTTTGCAACTCATGCGACAGCCGTCCTGAAAATGTCAGCTCCCCTCCCTACTCCTGCTGAGGTGGGGGCTGCGCGTTTTAATGCATAAAGCATTGTATGAATCTCATATATAACAGAATATCGACTAAAGGTCTGAACGAGGACAAACACAGTTTGTTTTTTATCAGATTAATCTACATCTAAGAGGTCCTATCAAATAAACTTAGTTGATAGACCGAAACCACTGTCATTACAACTGTAATAAACCAAACTTTAAAGACTTTCATTGCTAAACAGAAGAGGAAGGCCTTTTGATGATTGGTAGGTATTTTATTTTTGTCATAACCATTTATCCCACAGGTGTTTCTTTTGTTTCCTTTCTCCCACCTCCTCCCCCTTTTTTTATAACCCCTAGCGAGATTTGATCTCTCTGTCTACCAATTTCAATCTCTTTGTCTACCCCCTAAACCCTGAGACAGGTTTAAGACAAAATAAAGAAAAGAGAGACTCTTCCAGATGTAGTAGACGTCTCTCTGGCTCCACCTCTCACAGTTTGTCGACGACCCTCTTCTCTCCAGCAGAAAGACAGACAGACAGACAGACAGGCAGACCTCAACCGACCCGAGTGCAGACGCTATGGAGTGAGTGATGGTTTGCTTTGTCGCCCGATTTCATCGTCTGTGATCCTGTCTGTAATCTAACGTAACAAGCCCTTACTCCCCGTTTCATATTGTATAAGACGGTGACCCAACATCATGAACCACCTTTTGTGGTAAGGGATAGAAACTAGGAGCTGCAACCAGAGTTTATTCTGTGTATCAATAGTTGAGCTGGTAGTGTTCACATGTGGGTACACGTGTCACATAGACGATATGAAATATGCTAAGTTACAGATAAGATTAGTCCATAAGGTGATAACAAAACAGATTTTTGCAAATACAGAACCAGTACTGATGAGAAGCACCCCGCTATTTCACCCTCTTTCTGCTCCGTACTCCATCTTTGAACGTCTCCTAACGTTACGATCGTGTCTCTGATCTGAAGCCGTTGTCCGCGGCCTTCACCTCTCTCCCTCTTTCCCCCCTTCAGTTGGTCGTCGTCCTCCACCTCCAGCCTGCTGGCCAGCAGCAACGTGACCAACAAGACCGACCCCCGCTCGCTCAACTCCCGGGTCTTCATAGGGAACCTGAACACCCTGCTGGTCACCAAGGCCGACGTGGAGGCCATTTTCTCCAAGTACGGCAAGATCGTGGGCTGCTCCGTGCATAAAGGCTACGCCTTCGTCCAGTACGCCAACGAGAGGAACGCCCGAGCGGCCGTTGCCGGGGAGGACGGCCGCATGATTGTGGGACAGGTGCTAGGTGAGGCTGAGCAATGAAATCCGTGGCTGGGTACCGAATTTGAAACATGACGCCGATATCTCTTTATTCTCCTGTCCCTGGATACACAGAAAAGGTTTAAAAACACACCTTTAATCGGTCCCTGCTGACTCTGTAGTTACTCTGCTGCCCTCTAGTGGCAAAAACTGGCCACTGACTAACACAACAGTCTTTAAAACTGATTTCTTAATGTTATTAAAGGGGTAGTAAAACAGTAGACAGATTTTTCTGATATGGCTCCTGGTTGAAGGAGTTGGGAGGGGGGGGGGCATCTTACAAATGCAGATGGTCGTTTTACCCTCCCCTTCCCACCTCCATGTGTCCTACCTCAGACATCAACCTGGCAGGCGAGCCGAAGCCTCACAGGTCAAAGACGGTGAAGCGATCCGCAGGGGACATGTACAGGTGCGTGTCCCACTTGTTTGGTTACAGTTGTAGTCAGTACGCTTTCAAATAAGATATAGCCACAGAAAGAAATCTTACGGCTTATTTCCATCCCACAGCTCCTCCTTTGATTTGGACTACGACTTCCAAAGAGATTATTACGACAGGTAAGGTGCGGGTTCGGGTCCGCTTTTTGGGTTTTATTTTCATCGTGAATAAGCTGGAAAGCACCGGTTCGTTCTTCTCAAGCTCCTGACTTTCGCGGTGTGTTTTGCTCCCCGAAAGAATGTACTCCTACCAGTCCCGGGTGCCTCCTCCCCCGCCGCCGCCGCCACTGTCCCGCGCCGTCATCCCCTCAAAGCGGCCGCGCGTCAGCCTGAGCGCCGGAGGGAGCCGGCGCAACAAGGCTGCCTTCTCCTCCTCCGCCTCTAAGAGCAGCCAGAGGACCTCGCGCACCGGTGGGTTTGGTGATGTGCACCCAGGACCCCGGGGCGGGAAAACCTCACCTGGTCAGACAAGATAAAACGTTCATAAGCTGATAGAAGTTAGATAGAAGCCGGCCTCTCTTTCTAATGACCTCAAATAAGCCGATTTGGAACCGAGGCTCTTCACTCGGACGCAGGTTTTGCTTAGAAATGGCGCCACTATAAGCTGGAGATCGGTGCATGTTTCGTTTGTTGTCAATTGTTCCCAGAAGAAGGGTATTATTATGTTCCGCCCTGTGACTCTGTCCCACAGTGAGGACGGACGACCTGCAGAGCATCAAAAGAGAGCTGACGCAGATCAAACACAAGGTGGACTACCTGCTGGAGAGCTTAGACCGCATGGAGAAGGACTACAGCAAGAAGTCAGGTGGGCCCAGATTAAGAGGCTAAGGCTGCTCTCTGTTCATGGTCTGAAAGGACCATTTCTCAACAGGTCAGCTTATTCTGGCAGTACAGTGAGACGAGGCATTAGATGGTTTATGGATAACGGTTCTGAAATGGAAACCATCCCTTGACGGTCCCTGTGACTCTTTTGCTTTGCGTCTGTCTTTTTTTTTCTTCCCCACAACGCACACAGAGATGAAAAGCTCCAAACCGGAGCCGGGCGAAGTGTCCCCCCTCAACTCGTCTACATCCAGCAAGAAGGAGGACGGCCTGAAGAGAGACAGGGAGATCCAGGAGCTGAACGACTCGGAGGAGGACGGAGACCTGCTGGAGGACGAGGACGTGGTGAGAAGTGAGGGCCTGGAGCCCCCCCCCCAAAAGAAACCCAGTTCATTTTCTTGCCCTCTGGTGAAAAACGTGCCCCTTCAGTTTGAACATGTCATAGCTTATCTCCTAGATTTTTTTCATATTTGTCCTCCACATGTCAACCAGATCGCAACGAGTCCGGCCACCTTTAAGTCTTTTTTTTCCCTCCCACGCAGATGAAAAGCAGAGAGAGAGAGGAGGATGAGGAGGAGGACGGTGAGCAGGAGGAAGGGGAGGACGACGGCGACAGCGCCAACGGAGACGACCCCTGAATAGGCGGCGTGGGCCCGGTGGCGTTGTGTGTGAGGCCAGCGGAGGTTCTCACACAGCAGGCTGCAGATGTGGCTCCTCTCCTGTGTATTCCAGTCTGAACCCCTTCAGTTATAGTTGATAAATGTTCACCACTTTTCCATTTTTTTTATATTCCGCTTTTACATGTTTTTCTTTCTTCTCCTTTCTTTTCTCTTTGTTTTCTAAATGATTTGTTTTGCGGACAAATTTGAAAAAAAAAGTGCCGTCCCTTCTAAAAGAAAAAAAAAACGGTCCATCATTTGGATTTAAAGCGAGTCCAGAGATAAGAAAGGCCCTGCAAGCATGGTTTGAAACTCTCAAGATCAAAAGAAACAGGCCCTATAGCGTGTCTTCACCAGCAGATGGCGGCGTAAGCCGACCACAAGCTCGCATGGCCCTGTTGTCCTCAGTCATTTCTTTAATCCCCCCCCCCGGCAGGCCCCTCAGATAGCTGAGTGTGTGCTCAGATCTCAGATCCCAGCGTTTGCGATCTCGGCTGCTCCGGGCTCGTGTGGAGCAGACATTCTCCACGCTTCTCACAAGGTTTTTTTCGCTCGTCTGCACCGGTAATAGTTAATAAACGTGTTTTCCATGTTGGAACCTGTTCATGCTTTTTCATGCCTTACAAATGAGCGCGGGTTCGTTTCCATCGGTGCTTTACAGAGAAGCCAAACTTTGGACTTTGGTTGTCAAACAGCATCCGCTCAGTTCTGATTTTCTTTTTATGTATCAGAGCATACTTGGGAATTGGGTGAATATGATCTCATGTGAATAACAGGATACATTTCCTCATCTCATCATTTATTTAACAGAAACTGTGCCAAAATGCAGCAGTCTGTGGAAAATGAAGCACACTCTGGCTCCTGCGGGAGCAATTAGGACGGTACCCAGCAGCCATGTTTCCAGCATTCAGGTGTGTGTTTATGCCAAGGAGGAAAGACATCAGTCGTAGGAGCCTTAATTGTCTTAATTGAATTCAAGTATAGAAGTACGGGCTCCAGTCGAGTGTGATGGTCGGTGTCAAGGGATGGCCTCCAGAGGAACGATCAGGTAGGTGCTGAACAGGGGGAGCAAGGCTCAAGGAATCCAGATCAGCGTTTCACAAACGGAAAAACACAGCAGAGGCAGGTAGCTCCCACTGTGAAGGAGCCTTAAACAACAACACCAAAACATGGCCAAGCAACACGGGGACAGATTTTACACGAGTGGAGGATAGTCAACCCAACTGCCAAGCCTCCAGGAGTAGAATTCAGAGTTTTAAAGTCTGACCGCGCAAAGCTCAGAAATAATTTTTGGGGAAAAAAACGAGTGGTACATCTTAGACTGAACGGGCGTCCGTTAGCATCTGAAATGAGAGACTGCTCACCCTTACACTGCTAGTACCCTGTGTCATTCAATGTGCCGTTTACCTTTATTGAATCAATAAGCAAAAAGCTTGAGGGTGAACTGTGAATAAGGGGAGGGGGGGGTGGATAACGAGAGGATGGACAGGCCTCAGAAGGCCGGAGACAGATGGCGGTGTAGCTGGCAGATGGAAGGAAGACAGAAAAAGCGGAGGAGATTTCGTGGCGTGCACGTGGGAACTCTCGGACGTGAGCAGTGAGCGGCCCCCAGAGCAGGAGCCCGTGTTTGTCTTTATGCGCGTGGACGTTTCCTCCACGGCGTTTCGTGGAATACGAGCCCATCGCTTCCTCACGGGCGGGAAAATCTGCAGACCTGAAATGTAGAAAAACAAGGCCTGACGGATGCTTTCAGGGTGAGCGAATGGAAGCGTTTGCCGTGGAAACCCTTCAAAGCGAGGTGCTTTCGGACCCCGTTCCGGTGGGTAGAGATTAGGTCATCCAACTGAACCATCAAATCACACATCCTGAATACACAAGTAGCCGACTGGAGAATTAATGTGTTGTAAGGTGTTATCCCTGTTTGGGGGAATATGTGGAGATCCTGTGGAATCAGTTACTCTCCAGGGCATTTCTAACGGCTACCTACTAAATGACGAATCTACTTCCACAGGTAGTGCATCCAAAATAAGAGTATTTAACCCACCAGCAATGGGGGCAGGAAGTATCATTATCTCTAAATGTAAAAGCAGGGTCCTGTAGAAAGAAATACCCAGCAGCAGACGAGCTGTTCCCAATAGGCCTGATCTTAACGTGAAGGATGGTTCCCTGGGGGGTGGTACTGATTTGCTGCAGAGCCAAAGCGTTAGTGACATCAAGAATCGATTCAGCTGAGCCTTTTTTGATGCACTGCATTTAAATTAGGCCGCTAACAAATGGACAGATAAGAAAAACCAAGGACGAATGCAAAAGGCGCATTTAAATAAAAATGGACAATGACATATTGCAGACATAATGAACCCAAGTGACCCCTATTTCTGCACTGGAGACCAGTAAAGTGGTCCTTCTATGGAGAGGGGGCCGGATCAACAGTTGCAAAAGTTCAGTGTGTACTGTTGTTGTGTCAGTGTAGGGGGGGTAACCAAAATAGCCCAAGTATCCCGGGACACGACTCATGACAGAGATCATAAGACTGTCACATTACATTCATTTAAGTGGCTTTTCTCTTTTATTTGATTGGCATAACCAGAGAGAAAGGCAACAAAAGGAAGAACTGATGAGCTTATTAAACATGAACAATCGCTGAGACCAGTGTGACTTCCTGTACTTCACACACAGCTGTGCAGCTAATTACTATTCTAATTAACTTGAGTTGTGTCTATTTTTTTCTCTTATGTGTTTGTTCGTATTTTGTGACCTATGCTTAACTTTGCCTCCTTTATGTCAGCACCAAAGAGTGGCGATGATCATTTAAAGCTCACAAAGCCACTAAAACTGGTTGCTAATGCGATTATTCTGATCATTAAAGGAATGTTTTCCTGTTAAAAAACGGGTAACAAAGTGTTTTTGTGGAGATAGAATGATAACAGTTAAACTGCATCCACGAGACCAGTTTCCTGCCTTCCATGTCTGAGTTTAGTTTGGTTCAGGCAAAACCACTTGGATATCTTTAGAAATGTAAAAGTGCACGTTTAGGGTTAGTATGAGCAAACTGATTGCAAAGGTTTTGACTTTCCTGACCTCGTGTTTAGGGTTCCACGACCGCCAGGGCCAGCTGTTTGTCATTGCTAGATGTTCTCTTTTTTTTTTTCCAGCTCCTCCGTCATAAACTGTGCTGAATGGATAAGCACATGTGTTCACTGTCGCTCCACAAGTCAATAACGTGAACCGTTAGTTAAATAATGTGGATCGAAGACCTCAGCGAAATGTGTTTTTGTCCACTCAGCCGGAATAAACCAGCGGGTAAATGTCACAATGGGTTCCTCCGTCTTTCTTTTACAGCACTCTCCCACCCTTTACAGCACTTTGCAGCAGCCAGAAACTGTGTGGAGGCCCAATAATACAGAAACAAGCTAATTTTTTATGCATTCGTACACGTCAATATAAAGGGATTTTTAAAGGGACCATCTATCTGTGGCTTGTCGTTTCTTTTATTCTTTTTTCCCCCTTGCTTTTGGAGTGTAGGTGGTGTTTTGAACCAGTCGGGCAGACAGAAGCAGCTGCCTGTGGAGGCCCCCTGACTGGATCTGGTCTGACAAACTGTGGCAGGTGACGGCTTCAAACTGCCGTCCAGGACGCCAGCGGCCGACTCTGAGAGCCGATGGGGCGGCGTCATGGTAACTGCTTCCACTTTTACTTCCCTCCGCGAGCTCCCTTATGCTCGACATGTGAAGTTAGCCGTTTGGTTTCTTTCGATTCCACATGTCGGGAGGGGGGGGGGAAAAGAGACCGAAAAAGACAAAAAGGGAGAAAAGACAGTAACGGACTCTGACAGTGGCAATGGGCCACGCAGGCCGGAAGTAGAAGAGACAGATATGAAGCGATGCTCCAGATGAGCCCGGCCGCTGAATGTCAGGGTGGTGTTTAAGGCCCCGGAAAGGAGACAGCAGCCATGCAGGGTTAGGTTTGAGATTAATACTGCACGGACAAGGTTTCATTGATCGTCTGACCATCCGTACTCTGCCAGGTAATGAATAAGCCCATTAAACCCAGAGTCAAACTACTCCTTCGACAGTGGGCTAAGCCAGTGAGCATTGATTTATTGTAAAGAGGCATATAGAGGTCATTCTGAAACTGGGCTGGACTGCGGAGGCTCTGTAACCGTCTGTGAATCCTCATGGAAAACATTCAGAGTTTAGCAGTGTGAGCCTTACGAACGTAAAGTCAAAGCAAGAGGGTTAGATTAGAAATAACGCGACAATTTATGTAGAGTTTTCTTTCAAATACATTTTTAAAATCCCCTCACTCAAACGTGAAGGTTAAGGTGAAGACGGAGGGGGGAGGGGACTGGAGGCAGAGCTTTTATCTGAGCCACAGAGAGGTCACAGGGGAGGCTGGAGTGTGCGGAGGGGGGAGGGAGGGGGGGAGATGGTGGAAGAGAAGAGGGGAAAGGAGAAGAGAGGGATGTTACAGGAAGGTAGAGAAATAGGGAGGAGGTGCGGTCAGATGTGGAGAACCACCAGCACCGAGAGAGTCTGGAAAGAGGGATCAAGGAAAAAAATCTGTAATAGAAATAAAACAAAAACAACCAAATGAAACAGATCCACAACAGAAGCAGAGCCTGTGTGGGACTCGGTGGGACGAGTGTGTCCCCCGTGTGCTTGTGAGTGTGCATGCATGTGTGTGTGTGTGCGCGTGCGAGAGAGAGAGAGAGAGTGAGAGAGAAAGCAGAGTGAAATACGAGTTACACATCCGGTGAAAAAGAATCCCTCCCTGTGAGTGCATGACTGTTTGCTTTCAAGTCATCTGTGTGATTCTGCACACGCGTGTAAAACGAAGCAGTAACAGGCTGTTCAGCTGTCGGTTTCCAACTCAGTCCCTCATCCATGAAGTGCAGCTACCACTGTAGAAAAAGAACCCATCTGATGGTTTCTGATGTCTCAGCGTCGCTTTTTCCTCCCCTCTTCATCCCATTTGCTTCCATCCTGATGAAGCAGTTGTATTCGGCCATGTTTGCGTTTTGTCGTTGTTGTTAACCTGAAATTGGTACCTGCTGCTAAATGTGTTTCCACCTTGGGGTTTAAGTAAATCAATGCAAAGCAAAGCAGACATCTTTATTCAATTTGAAAAATTGTTTTATTTTTTAGATTATCATTAATAATCATTAGTATTTTGGTATGCTTTCAGAAGGGAAGTTAACCAAAACGCAGCAACCGTTTGTGTTGACATGACTGGTACTGTTTACAGGTAATTTGGGATGGAGATTAAAGGACAGGAAGTCCGATGAAAGGGACTAATATTTACGGCACTGTTCACACTTCCTCCCTCATGTGACATGCCGGACTCCATAACAGTTAATCAATCGTGAACCAGAAAATTTTCACATTTGCACCATCAATATTCTTTTACATTTGATTTGGACCACTGACTATGTGAACATTTAGCGTATTGTTTTGATTATTTGCAAATAGGATTTTACTTTGACTGCTTTGACTGGCATTCTTTCAGTGAGCCAAATGGGATTTTCATTGTAAAAAGAAACCTGTTTCTGATTTGCAACTAGCAATGAATTTTGGATTGTGATTGTAATATTTAGAGCAGATATATGAAGGTTCTGGATGCTCTTACACTGAAGTGTACCACTTGAAAAGAAAAATATTGTGCATTCTGCCAATAAGCTTTTGTTGTTTTTTTAGGCTGAGGTGTAGGACAGCTGGACTGTCCGAAAATATTGTTTACAACGTGAGTCGGCCTATC